CCCCTCCGCACCTCCCGCCTGGCGCGCACCAAGTACAACAACTTCGACGTGTACGTGCGTGCGCGCTGGCTCTACGGCTTCATCCGCTTCCTGCTCTACTTCAGCTGCAGCCTCTTCACGGCCGCGCTGTGGGGCGCGCTGGCCGCGCTGTTCTGCCTGCAGTACCTGGGCGTGCGCGTCCTGCTGCGCTTCCAGCTCAAGCTGTCGGTGCTGCTGCTGCTGCTGGGCCGCCGGCGCGTGGACTTCCGCCTGCTCAACGAGCTGATGGTCTACGGCATCCACGTGACCCTGCTGCTGGTGGGCGGCCTGGGCTGGTGCTTCATGGTCTTCGTGGATATGTGAGCGCCCGCGGCCTGGGCCGGGCTCGGTTACTGTGACCAGTGGGGCCGATGCCTGCGGCCGGCCGCTTCTTGACCGGGTAGCTCAGGGCCTTGTCTTTCACGCTACGTCCAGTAGCTGGTTCTCTGCCCAGGAGAGGAATGGGCTGTGACTTCTGTGCATGGACGCTGCGCCCTCCCGTCCGCTGACCCTCCAGTGTGTGCATTCAGGGGCACTCACCCTTGGCCACCCGCCATGGTTCCAGCCCGCACTTTTCCAGGCCGTGCTTGGGGGCGGTCACGATCAGTCTGTACTTGGAGAGCCTCTGTGTCCCGTCCACTCCCCAGGACACAGGCGTCCCCAGTGGTGTAGGGGTGTGCTGCCCAGGAGCAAGTCTGGAGGGGTCTTCCTGGCCTCGCCCCGGCCCCAGCCGTAGGGAAGCATCGGGTCCATTCACCACACTGCCACAGGGCCGCCCCGGCAGCACCCTGAGAGGTGGCCAGGTTGCTCAGTGACCACCTTGGGGCCTTGAGTCCCGGCCAGTCTTCAGGGCCTTGTTTGTGCAGGCGCAGTCCAGCAGGGAGTCAGAGCCCCGGGCAGACCCGTCTTCCTCCTGGGCAGGTCGGGGAGTGTCAGGCCCCTTCACATGTGGGTTTCTGGGGAGGCACCTCAATCCCTCTCTGGCTCTGGGGGCTGCTTTTGGTCAGAACACAGAATGGGGACGCGTGTCTGGAGCAGATGTCGGAGGTCTCGGGCGGTGCGCTGGGTGTGCACCACGAAACGTGGGCAGACCTGTGTTTCAGGCACCCTTAGCGTCGGGGGGAGGGGGGGGTGGCCCGGGGCTGGATCTCTGGGTGAGGGGCGAGGCCGCCCCTTTGCTCCTGCCCCGGGGCAGTTAGAGCAGCTGGGGAGTGGAAAGCAAAAATGAATGTCTGCAGGGACTGTGGCCAGGAAAGAACAAAGGGCCGGTGGTCCTGGGGGACTGTTTTGGTCACAGAGAACACACTCCAGAGCCAGCGTCTGTCCAGACCCTTCCTCTGGCCTTCTGCAGCGAGGGGGACAGGGTGGCCATGTCGCTCAGTGGCCACCGTGGGCCTCCTTGGCCAGTGGGCGGCCACCTGAATAATTCTGCTGGGACAACAGGCAGAGTGGCCCCTTTGACCCTGCCTGGCCAGGGAAGCCAGGGGGACTGTCAGGACAGTTATGTGCCACTGGAAGGAACCCCAAATCAGGTAGAGAAAGCAAAAAGCACTTGGCTGTAACCATGCCGCTCTGTGGCCGGCTCTGCTGGACGGTGGTCAACCTGAGGTCAGTGGGAGGGCTCCTGGAGGAAGGAGCTGAGGAGCTGACCCTCAGGGACCCCCTCAGCACTGCGGAGCATCTTTTGCACTAAGTCATGCTGTTTCCTATAAGCTTTGTTTTGTGTTAATTCACGCTGCTCAGATCCTTCGAGGTCCCCTGACTGAGGTAGGCGTGAGCACACCATGGGGATGGCAGGGGTCTGGATGTGTGCCCCTTGGGTGTCTGCGCGGCAGTGCTAGGAGTTGACACGCTCAATGAGTAGTTGCCCGGGGTCTCGAGTGCCTGTGAAATTCTTTATGAAACGAGCCACCTGCATTAAACTTATTTTTTTAATGTGTTGGTGGAGTGATTGCTTGAGGCTCAAAAAGCTTATTCTTTTTTAAGGATATTAACAACAAACAAATAAAATTTGGCACGTTTTAGAACAGTCATCTGCGATGCTGGGAAGGGGTGCGGGGGGGGGGGGGGGGCTGCCTTGACCTGAGGCCACGGATCCAGGTGGGAGCCTGCCCCGCAGCCGGCAGGATGGCAGTGAGAACTTGTCAGCGGCCCGAGGGGGCCTGCCTGGGCTCCGGAGGACTGAATCCCACCACAGATGAGGCGTGGGGCCCTTAAGTAGATGGGGGACACCCTCGCAGACCGGGGCGTGGGGCCCTTAAATAGATGGGGGACACCCTTGCAGACCGGGGCGTGGGAAGGGAGTCTGGCAGTCACCCTGAGGGACAAGGTGTGTGCAGGAAAGGAGGCAGAAAGTCACCATTTCTTGAGTTGTGCTTGTTGGGGTGACATTGTTAATACAGTCAGATAGGCTTCAGGGGTACAATTGTACATACGTCACCAGTGCAGCGTGTTGTGCTCTGCACCCCCAGTCAGTCTCCTCCCGTCGCCGTTGGTCAGCCCTGCACCCTCTTCCACCTCCCCACCCCCTTTCCCTCTGGTCACCACCACGCTGTTGCCTGTGTCCAGGGTATTTTCCCAAGTTACAGTCTCGTTTAACCAGAAAGCAGGTTGAAACACGAGAGACACGATTCCTCAGAGATCATCTTGTGAAGGTTTCCCTGGCTTCTATGCAGGGGACAAGGGTGGTGTCCTTCAGAGCAGCCGATGGCCAGAAAGTGACCTTGAGAGGGATGGGCTGTTACAAGAGGCCTGTCTGCTGTTTCTGGACTTTTGAGGAACTAAACGTTGTGGCCAGCTTTTGATGGCGGAGTTGGTGAAGTCCTCACAAAAGCCTCAGCCCGGAGCCACGGGTGAACTTCCTGTGACAAAGCCTAGTGAGCTCGGGGTGCTGCTGCCGGGCCTGCAGGCCTCGGGACAGCAAATGACCTGCGTGGTTGGAGCTTCTGGAGGGTTCCTGATCCTGGAGTGAGGCGCCAGCACCTGCAGGGGCTGGGGCAGGTTTGAGACAGGACTGATCCTGCGGAGCCTCCAGGCCTCGGCTGCTGCTCCCTCCTCGCTCCCTCCCCCCCCAAGGCCCCGCTGCACTGAGGTAGAGAAGTGGTCAGGAGACGGGCAGTCAGTCCGTGACCTGGGACGGGCGAGGAGGGCCACCTGCCCAGTGCACAGCAGGACGGACAGGTGGGTGACGATGGGGACTCCAAGGCCAGGGAGTGCCCAGAGGACCGGAGTTGGCAATGCCACCTGGTGGTGGCAGCACCTGCAGGCTGGTGGCTGGAGAGCACGGGCTGTTGATTTGGGGTCAGGAGCTGGGCACTGAAGCCCCGTCTTCAACCTGGAGGGTGGAGGGTGGGCAGCGTGGACCAAACCACGGTGGCCCCAGGGAGAGCAGTGGCTGTGGGCCAGGAGCAGCCCCGAGGGAGAGCTGGGTGCAGCGGCTGTGGGCGTCGGGCACAGGAGGCCGAGAGGCCCAGGAAGAAGATGGTCACGTCTGGGGGAGGGCAGTTGCTGGGCAGGAGGACAACAGGAGGCTTCCCGACTTCAAGATGGGAGGGAGGTCAGGGCTGGGGTCGGAGGTCAGGGCTGGGGCAGAGAAGGGACAGGAGGAGGGAGCAGTTCTCCCTCGAACAAAGGTCTGAGAGCTCAGGAGGGGCTCCCTGGGGCCAGGTGCTGGCGGTGCCTGGGCAGGAAGAGCTGAGCCAGCCAGCTGCCAGGCCCGGTGATGGAAATGAGCAGCCGGGGTGTGAGGGGCTGGGGGGTGGGGCGAGATGAGGTGATGCTTTGGAAGTTTCTAGAAACCACAGGCTTATTTGAGAAAGTCTGGGTGCTGTCCAGGCTCCTATGTCCCCCACTTCCCTCCCCCCCAGGTGGTGGCAGCCGGCTGGACAGCCTGGGGGAGGGACAGCCCCCACCCCCGGGAAGCTGGCGGCCTAGAGTGTGACCGAGTCCCTGTGGAGGACAGGGCCGCCCACGGTATTGATGTGCCCTGACCTTGAGCGTCCCCGCGTCCAGCCTGTGATTGGAGGAGGGGAGAGCATGGCAGGGCGCTGTGCTGACTCGGCACTTTCTGGGAGGGAACGTGCTTCCATCTGCAGAGGCCTGTTCTGTCTCCCTGCTGGTGCTGTTTGGAAGGGCCTCTCCGCTAGCCCCTTCCCCACCCGCCCAGGATGGCCCTGCCCCTCCTGCACCAGGCTCCATGCAGGGGCGCTGGCCGCAGGAGCCACTGTCCAGAGCCCCCGCAAGCTGGCAGGCCTCCCAACAGCTCCCCGAAGAGGGCAGGAGGAGCTCCTTCCTCACCAGCATCCTTCCTGGGAGGGGCAGGGACACACAGGGACAGACGGAGCCGCTGATTCAGCAGCTCCTGGCTGGCCCCTCCCCCAGCCCCAGCGGGCAGCATGCCCAGGCCTGCTGGCAACTGTGCCACACGGGCCTCTGGCAGGTTGCTGTGGCTCTCGGTGTGTGGCCCGCACTGCGCCTGGGATGGCGGCTGGTGCTGGGGGCGGCTGCCACGGGCCAGCTGCCAGCACCCCCACACAGTCTGCCGCAGAAGTGGCCCCACAGGAGAGCGCATGGCATTCGGGCTACTGTGCGTCCTAAGCCAAGAGATGGCGATACACCGTGGGGGCCCATGCAGTACCCCAGATACCCAGATGACCCATGCAACCCTGGTCACTTGCCACCCAGCAGGGATAGGGCGGAGACTAGCCAGCTGATGTGAGCAGCCCTGGCCAGAGGGGGACAGAGGATGTGCCTGAACCCCAAGGGCCCAGCATGGGCTGGGTTTGCTCCTAACTGCGGTGGGAACCCACCGTGGACACGGTGCAGAAAGGGGTCCGTGTCCCCACTGCAGACAGGGCTGTGGGTGTGGGACAGACACCTGGAGAAGGGTGGACAGCAGTGCAGGCCTGGAGCCCAGGAAGGTGGGGGACGTGGGGGGAGACTAGGAGAAGCCACAGGCACCCCATGGACAGTTGGTCCTGCCCCACCGCCCCGTGGTCTGCCTGGAGACTCTCAGACAGGAGCCCTGACGCCGAAGGGTGGGTCTGAAATGTCCACGGCCACATTCCCATCAGCTGCACGCTGCCCGCACCCACTCTGAGCACGTGCCCCACTCCGCTTTCTTAGAATATGAACAACCAGCCCTGGCTGAGAGGCCTTGTGAATGTTCACACAGAAAGCCATCGTCAGCCCAGCCGTGATGTCCAGGGACAGCAGCAGTGGGCAGCCGAGTGGCCTTAGGAGGCGGCCTGGCTCCAGGACCCAGTGGCACCCTGCTCCCCCATGTCCCACGATGGGTGGGGGGCTCCTCCAGGCCCGGGCTCCTGCCTGCTGTCAGGGGGCTCTGCCTCCTGCCACCTCCGGCCACGGAAAGCAGTGTGAAGTGTGAATTCGTTATGCACAACAACCCGTGACAGACATGATGGTGACATGAATTATTTGTATGTTTTCACATTGTCCTGGAATAACCCTCTGTGCTCCCTGCTGCCTCCGTGCAGACAAGGAACTTGCTCTTCCTCTGTGAGGCCACACCTGAGCGATGCAGCCAGAGCAGCCCCTGGGTCCTCACATTCCTCCCGCCGTGCAGCTGGGGTGGCACACGTGTGCGCCCATGTGTGCAGGCCCATGTGTACATGTGTGTACATGCCTGGGTATGTCTCTGTGCATGCATGTACGTGCCTGTGCACATATGCCTATGTGTGCTTTCCGCTGTCCTCAGGTTCCAGTCCTGGGCTGTGCACCTGAGTTGGGCAGAGCAGGGTGGTGGGTCCTGGCCCCCTCTCCCCCATGCTCAGCGCTCCCTCTAGGTGCTGTTGCAGAGAAGGAAGGGTGGGGGCTGCGCCCCCTGGTCATATTCCCCTGGTGCTGAGAGGCAGGGGCGCCCGCATTTGGGTCAGATGGCCAGTGTCTGAGCTGATCTGCATGAAGAAGGGCCTTGTTCAGCGCCTACTGCAAGGGTGTCTGCTTCCCTCCACGCCCACCCCTTCCTGTGAGATAAGGGAGAGGAAGCCAGGGCCTCGCAGCCTGGAGTGGACAGGGCTCTGGGGAGGGCAGCCCTAGGCCAGCACCCCGGGGGGAGAGCAGCCAGGGCCCAGGCTGCGTGCCCCCCTCCACCACCCCCCTCTGGGCAGAAAGGCCCTCAGGGCCCAAACCCATTCTCCTATTTTGACCTCAGGTCCCTGGGGGTCAGCCTGGAGGAGGACGCTGCCCTTCCCCCCCGAACACTGCGCCCACACACAGTTGAATGAACAGATGGGGGGGTCGCCCGGTCTTCATCCGTCAGGCTGCTGTGATGGGGGCTCAGGAACAACAGACATTTACTTCTCAGTCTAGAGGCTGCAAGCCCTGGCCCCAGCCCAGGCTGAGCTGCTGTCAGCGCGGCTTCCTGGTCCACAGACCACCAGCCTCGGGACGAGGGGCCAGGGGCTCCCTGGAGCCTCCTTCTCAGGCGCTGATCCCAGTCACGGGCTCCACCCTCACACCCCAATCACCTCCCAAAGGCCCACCTCCCACAACCTCACTGCCAGGAACCCAGCCTAACCAACTGGGGGTTAGGATTCAGCATGAATTTGGGGGGACACACCAGCAGACAGTAGCATGTCCCTTGTGTCCCGGGCCTGTCGGTAGGACCCTCTCACTGTATGGATGGTCGCGTCCAGGGTCACTCCATGCTCGGAGCTGGGCCTCCCAGGCAGGCCGTCTCCCACTGAAGGGCCTGGCCCCGCAAATCCTTCCACCTGTCTCATCTGGGTGTTTCCAGCTGCTGCCGCTGAGGCCGCTCAAGCCCCGTCCAGCCCCGTCCCCAGGAGTGTGTGCCCAGCTCTCACCCGTGTCCAGGCTGCGTGCCCACCCTGCATGCCTAGGAGGAGGTGACCACGGCAGCCACCCGACCCTCAGCCTCTCCAGAGCAGGAGGCAGCAGCTGCTCAAACAGCTGCTCCAAAT